ACACACACACACACACACACACACACACACACACACACACTTGTAGGAATATAAAATGTATCTTCTTTTTTTTATAAAGAAAATGCACCAAACATAAATAAGAAGCTAAGAATAGGACGCATTAGAGTCTACTGCAACTTGCCAAAAGCGCGCAGGAATATAAATTATACTGTTTAAAAAAGATAAAAGGTTATACACTAAATATACTTAAGAATAGAACGCATCACTACAACTTGCCACAAGTGTGAACAGTTTCTAAACTTGAATGCTCGCCTTTTCCCAACTCCCCTCCCCCTCCAACCCAGGGCAGCATGATACTGACTGAAGTTGTCTTTAGGCTATTCCCAAAGGGGGGGATATTCATGTTTTTAGGCACAGTAAAATTGTAAATTGGCTTATTTATCAATGTCATGCTCATTCTGTGCCGGAACAACGTAGGGGGAACTGCTGATTTTTCTTTCCCTATCCTTACTATCGTCGTTTTCCTCTACTTCTTCTGTATGTTTGTCACTCTCTTGAGAAGTGGTATTTCCGGGGTGCTTTGATAGTCGAAACACACTTTGTGCTGTTGAGGCCAGAGAAGTGAGCCTGATTCCCCGTTTTGACGTCTCTGTTGACTCCACCCTTTGGCGCTCATATGACTTTATGTAGTCGCGAGCGCCGTAATACCTTACTAACACTAAACTTATAACTTTCCCCAAAAGCCGTCTTTTTACAGCATGACTTACCCTGTGTAACTCGCTATAAGCCTTACTGTGTAGTGAGAAGCGATGACCCCATTACGCCAAGCTCTATGGCATGTGTCAATCATATGTGTGATTACAATAATAATAATATATGACAAGGAGAATTTGGCGTTTGTTGAATATATAATTGTAACCAAATTATTTCCCCGCGGGGATCAAACAAAGTGGAATTTATTGAAATGTATTTATTTTACAGTCGCAATTACCTAAGACAGCCACCCATTGTAGAGGAGGATAGTAGCCGTCTTTGACAGATGACCATCTTACACAGTGTCATGATTTTTAAAAAGCAAAAAACAAAACAAACCAAAAAAAACCACGTTCACAAAAAAATTATTTTTTAAAAATAAATAAATAAATAAAACAAAAAACCCATACTCAAGAGAATAAATGTGAAGTGAAGTGACCGTTTGTACAATGTGATTGTCTCAGGTGACCGTTACAGCAGGTTCGACCGACTGTAGCCTATTTCTTTTTTTCTCTCCCTCCAAGGTGACGTGTGAGGATGAGCAGCATATGAAATCTGTGCTCATGTCCGCCCTCATGGATCAACGAGTACACAGCTACCGCATGATCGTGGCGTCCACCCGGGCTGTCATCAAGATGGACGGTGTGACGTCACGGCGGGCCAAGTCCTGCGAGAACCTTCTGGACACGCAGGAAGACAGCGGGGACGAGGCTGAGAGGTTACTTCATGGTAGGTATTCTAGCCCTATCCGTACGCCTGGGGTCATTCTGTACTCCCGGGGTTGTATTCTTCACATTTTAGAATACTTCTAGTGAGAAGATCTCTTTGAAACTTTCAGTATTCATTCAAAAAAATCATTTTGACAGACTGCTATGCAAAGGGTACGGATCGGATTAACGAGTAAATTTCCTCTTTGGAAAATGGGGGCACCGAGTTCCACACGTCGTATTGATACGATAGTAAAACACGATGTACGGATAGGTTTAGGTGGCCTTTTAAAGGACAATTTTAATATAGTTTAGTAATTTAGTAAGAGTTTTACAGCGCTCGCAACTGCATCAATGTTTATATAGAGGGTAGGAGGGGTGAAAGTTTTTGTAAGCTGTTTGCACTGTATGCTTCCTGGGAAGCTGAGGATGTTTCTGAGTGTTCTGCTGGGGTAATGAAATTGTGTAGGGCGCATGGAGCTTGTTTTTGAGCGGGGTATTGCGCTATACAAATACTATCTATTATTTGTTATAATTAATCAGACGGGACGACGGATGGACAGAAGAAGGGTAGAGAGGTGGTCTCTGGACGGTTGGGTGAGAGGGATGATGGATGGATGGATGGATGGATGGATGGATGGATGGATGGATGGATGGATGGATGGATGGATGGATGGATGGATGGAAAAAAGAGGAAAAATTAATGGATGGATTAATGAAAAAACGGAAGCATTAGAAAATACTCGACTGAAAGAGCATTATAGGATGGATTTCGGTTATATTTGGGGGGTTTTATTGTTAGGTTGTTGGTTTTTTTTGGGGG